TTTAATTTTAAAAGTAATTAGAAAGTTATCACAAAACTACGTCATTCACGAGTAATTCTATTGTTGCTGAACAAAGTGTAAGTTCCACTTGAGAGAGTCACACACCTGTGTAGAACAGGCCTACTGTTGTTTTTAAATTTTTTGTAATAGTAAAATTATTTGGTAAGTAATAATTAATATATCGATTTCTATATATTTAAAATAATATTTGACTTGAAAAAATATATATCGAGTAGTAATATAATAGACTTTCTTCAGTGTAATTAATGTGATATTGTTCTATATTTACTTGTTTTTGTGCCATAATTGCCGATAAACCTCAATTGCGCACCTAATGAAGCAATTATTTTCGCTTTGACATCGCGGTAGGGTTAGTATGCCGAATTGAAGACGGAAAATAGTTAACTCCTTATCAGGGATGACCAAGTGGCACTCTACTATGCGGGTGGTGTGGTAGGAGGCAGAAAATACAAAAGTGCCTTACAAAACCATTTATTGATATTAATACAAAAGTTTCTTACACGGATAAAAGGAGTATTTGCCGGATGACAAAAATATTTATCAAATGTCCCGACCGATCGAATGTACTGATTTTCTATGCAAGTTTCGTCCGTCGGGCGACCCCCGGGCAGCGTCGAGTTGGTAGCTGATGGAGCTTTCCTAGTATACGCGGAAACTTCGTCGAACTCATTTCTATTGACGACGACATTCGGAGGTAAGAGGTGACTAAAATGAAAATACCCGCTGCATGTCTTTGTACTTCTGAGTTTTTATATAATTTTTGTCCTTATATATTCTATCAATTGTTGGATTCCTCTTTTCCGCTCTTCGATTTGTCACTAACTTCTCTCCAGGCAGGAAATTGACATCAATTCTGGAATCAAGAAACATAGGGATAGTCTAGCATCATTTCGACTCTGACCGAGAATACCGACAAAACTAAGACACCCGCGCTACCAGAGCCGTAACTAGCCATTCCTGTGCCCTGTGCGAAAATTTGCATTTAGGCTTATTAATTTATTTGGTTTGGGAAAATAATAAAACAAATATATTACAATAGATTTTTAATAAGATTTATTTTAATTGAACTTTTCTGGCTTTCGTTTCAGCAAATTCATTAATAATAAATGTCCAAAAATGAGTAAGACAAGGATACTTATTTCCCCACTTGCCGCACGTGTATTTATAAAGGAATTTTTAATTAAACATAAAAAAATACTTAAAACTGAAAAAAACAAAAAGAAATGCGTTAATTTTGAAGAAAAAGCTTCAAACTTTATTTTCCACTGTCTTGCCATTCTGCAAAATTTGACACAGANTAGAACAGAGATTTAAAAGTCATAAACATTTCATATGAACAGAGCCGTAACTAGCCATTCCTGTGCCCTGTGCAAGAATTTGCATTTAGGCCCCTTAATTTATTTGGTTTGGGAAAATAATAAAACAAATATATTACAATAGATTTTTAATAAGATTTATTTTAATTGAACTTTTCTGGCTTTCGTTTCAGCAAATTCATTAATAATAAATGTCCAAAAATGAGTAAGACAAGGATACTTATTTCCCCACTTGCCGCACGTGTATTTATAAAGGAATTTTTAATTAAACATAAAAAAATACTTAAAACTGAAAAAAACAAAAAGAAATGCGTTAATTTTGAAGAAAAAGCTTCAAACTTTATTTTCCACTGTCTTGCCATTCTGCAAAATTTGACACAGATGACTTATTCTTTACACAGCTGGATGACCTTGAGAACAGCTGGTGTCGTATTTCCCGGGACATTCTCAGACGTCTGAGGAGGAGAAAAGTTTAAAGTTGAGTGAATACCAGCTAGACCGATATTTTTGAATATTTTTAAAAAATTATAATTTTTATTGCAATTTCCGATCCCCCCTAATTAAATAATTTTTATATAATAAAATTTATTAATTAAAAAAAATTAAAAACTATTGGAGGTCGTTTTTTGAAATCAGAAGTTAGCTTTAAATAACTTTACTGAAGTCAAATCCGTGCACTACAACTTTAGAACGATTAATTAATTTTGATAAAAAAAATTCCATTAAAAAAACAATTAAGCCTTTATCGAGCATTATCAAAGGCTAATTAAAATCGTGATAAAATTATTTTGCGCGGGTAAAAATTTTTGAAAAAATTTGGAGACAGAAAACATTTCAAAAATTAAAATAATTGGGGGAGCGAAAGGACCGCATTTTCTGTAACGCTATGCAACGTGCCCGAGTTGAATCGAGACTGGTCGTTAATAGAAAATGCAAAAAAAGTCAGAATAAACGGAGAACACATCAAGTCCATTAAATTTGCTGATGATTAAGCCATATTAGCTACCAGAAAAAAATCTCACAAAAATGCTAGATAACATGAACGAGACAGCGAAAAAACAACAAAACAAAACGACAAATAAAACAATATAATTTTAGTAAAAATATGTTTGGTAATTTTAGGTATTTAGCTGGTGGAGATTAAAAACTTTTACAAGCTTTTGCATTTTGAATAGGTAGATCGACTGTTTGCACCATCATTAATGAAACTTGTCAAGCTATTGGCAAATAATTACGTAAAGATTCCAAACAGAAAAGAATTAGCCGATTTTGCTATCGAATTTGGAAAAAAGACTGAGCTTTGCTCATTGTGTTAGTGCAATGAACGTACTGATGCAATAATTGCTGTGACACAGCCATAGTTTTTCAATAAAAATTTCGATTAAACAAATTTACACTACGCCGATCGGGTTGATATTATTGATAAACTGTCGATGAGGAGAAAACCCAAAAATAAAACGACTTCAAATACGCTTAGCACGCGTCATCATTTGGTAAACACTTTTTTCATTGTTGCGTAATCAATAAATATCAACAATACATTTTCAGAGATTGTCGAAGCTATTTGTTGGATTAAATAGATATCGAATGCGAATTTGGTTTTAAAAAATGAATATTTCTTGTAAGTTAAACTATATTTTTATTGTATAATTATATTAACTTTTTTATAACGAATTCGCAATAAAAACAAAAACATAAAATTAATAATAATTTTTTACCAAATGTTTCAAAAGTTTTATACCCAAGTTATATGTTGATAAGGAATTTATTCTCTCACTTGAATACGAACGATCCACAAAAATCTAATATAAATTCATCACATTTGCTGTGATTAGATTTTAATCACATTAATAAACAAATGTAATTGTGGTTGTTTTCGAGCTGAAGTAATGCGTTTTCTCTTTGTCTTTTTTACGTTCAAAAATTTGTTGAAATATTTCTGAAATTTTATAACTTCGTAATTACATTCAAAATATTTTCAATTAAATCAATGATAAAAAAAATCGTGCATTTAGCACGAATTTCTCAATAGAGAAGAGCAGTAAAAGCTATCAGTTAACAAGCACCAAGAATAGTTTCATACATAACTTTAATTTATTAAATATTTTTTATCAGAAACTGTCACTTATTGTAAACAGCAATTATTAGGAACCTGAAAATTACAATCAGATATTTGTTAAAGACATTAACGATATTTAACTTTACAGTTATTTTCTGCTAGACGCAAATCGAACGTTAAAGGCATTTTCTGCACATGAATAACAATTTATTATGTTATTTCTACATTTCTTCATTATAAAAAAATGCGAACAGAAATTACATCAACATTTTCAGAATAAGATAAGATATTGAAAAATAAAATTCAAATCTATTGTTAATTTAAAATAATCTTATGAAAAGTTGTCAGAACTGTAATCTATAGGCTAATGTACCCGTGTTTAATGTATACTTACGACTTGATTCTGAGTACATTTCAGGTTTAGGTCATTGAACAATGCTATATTTTATATTTACAAAGTGTTTTTGTCTATTATATTATTCATCGATATTGCTGAATACAGCAAATAAATCGATCTTCGTCGCTAAATAAATGCAAACACTGCTCATTTATAAGAAATAACTTGTAACGAAGAGAAACAAATGTGGCAATTATTTTTAATTTGTTAAAATTCACCATTTATTTTACTTTACTTTTTATCGTTGCTTCTTGAGTATAAAGATATAAATAAACATTTCATTATTTACATTTTTAAACTTCATCTACAAATAGAATATTTAAAACACATCTTACTCAGACTTTTTATTAAATTGTATCAATGAAGATAAAGTAAGTTTCTGAGTATACACTAATAAATATCCGTTCATTTATTCCGACTAAGAATAACTTTTCACTAATATTACATTTTCAGTTGATTTTATGACCTTTAAAATACACAACAAAACTTCCAATTAGAAATACGAACATTTGAAAAACAGTTCCTCTTTCGGGAAAAACTATGTCTTAAAATTATTAATTAACTATAATTGTCGCCATCAAACGAAAATCCTCAAATTAAACGAATTTAATAATTTTTATCAGTTAAAAATTTACAACTAAAAAACCCGTGACAAACGATGCACAGTCTCATAAAATGCTTTACTTAAAATGGCTGGAAATCGTTTATTTATGAATAAATAAATATTTTGTAAGTTAGTAAAATAAAAGCAAAAAAAGTACTGTGAAATTATTTTATCAGGAATCAGAATTTTTCACTTTTCACAGGATCCCGCTGAAAAATTGGGCATGGACCAATATCCATTGGAATTATGTGAAGAAGTGAAAGTCATGGATGAAGGTGAGGTCATATAAAGATTATAACTTAATATTAATTATCCATCTGCTCTTTCACGTGTCTCGGATGTCGTAGTTTATTATATTCGAAACAATTCAAAATATAGCATTAATTTTAAAATGTTTCTACAAATATTCCATTTATTTCGTCAAAAATACTTTAGATAATAATTTTTGTTACTTATCAGCAATATGTGTCTCTCTGTGTTTACGTCTATTTCCTTTAATATCTCAGAATACGCCAAAAGAAAAAGTTTGCACTGTCACTCCCATGTAAAGGGCATCGATACTATTCAATTTTCGTAACTAAAGGTCGAGGGGAGAGGGAATAGTGCAAGATATTTTCAGAGGGGTCAGATTTAATAAAAATTTCTCACAAAATATGTATACATGTGAAATAAACACATGACTTAAACACATGAAATAAACACATGAAATAAACATGCTTGTGGAACTGTGACATCGACAAATAAATTCGAATTGTTGTCTCTTCTGAAAACTTTTTATTGTGTGAAAAAACGTCTTAGTAAGTGTACACGAACTTCCGGTCTAGATCGAAAGTCAGGTGATTTCAATTGAAATATTTTCCTCCCAACGCAGTTACGTAGATGACTGGCACGATTCTGTCGTTATTAGAAACAGTTATGTACAGGGATTATGTACAGGGAGAACTACTAATTTAAAATGAGAAATTTATAATTGTAAAGAATATAATGAAAAATTGCATTCCAGCGTTGTGGCACTACAATATGTTTGCTGGTTACAACTAAGCTTTAATATTTAAGAAATAAAATTAATTTATAATAAACAATCTCGGCTGAATCTTTTTGCTGTTTTACTTTTCATAAAACTGGCAAATGTTTTCGATTACAGAATGGGAAATATCTGAGCTTATATTTATATTCGAAGTGACTGTATATTTTTAACTTACTGTTTATACTTGTGCACTGCTTTGTCATTTGTTTTATAGATTAAACATTATACGTATATATATTTAAAAACGTTTAATTTTGGCTTAATTTGTGATAATAAATGAATATTTGAATAAGTACACATATTTCACAGTAAGACAAATATTTTACAATGAGCCTTTAATAAGGCTCGATTAAGGCTTAATTGCTTTTTAATGGTTTTTAATGGGAGTTTTTTATCAAAATTAATTAATTGTTCTAAAGTTGTTGTGCACCGATTTTCCTTCGGTAAAGATATTTAAAGCTGCTTTCTGATGTCAAAAACGACCTCCGATAGGTTTTTAATTTTTTTAGTTAATAGATTTTATCACATATGTGTTTAATTAATTAGGGGGAGTCGGAAATCGCAATAAAAATTATAATTTTTTAAAAATATTTAAAAATATAGGTTTAATATTTAGTCACCCTACTTTAAACCCTTCTCCTCCCGAGACGTCTAAAAGAATGTCCCGGGAAATACGACACCAGCTGTTCTCAAGGTCATCCAGATGTGTAAACAATGACTCATTGGTGTTAAATTTCACAGAAAAGCGAGACAAAGGAAACTAAATGATGAAGCTTTTTAACCAAAATTAACCCATTTCTTTCCTTTTTTTCAGTCTTAAGTATTTTTCATGCTTAACTAAAGACTTTTTTAAAAAAGTAGACAAAAAGCAGTTAATGTATTGTCTCTTTTGAGAAATGTTAAGAATTATTCATTTATTGGGACTTATCGTACCTGTTTTATGAAAGATTGTTTTAATTGAAATTACTCTAATACGAATAAATTTTCAGCAATAAACGTAATAATTTTCTTTTAAGCAATATAAGTTTTACGCCTGGAGTACGAGTGTAAAATAACATAATACATTGGAAAACATAATAGACTTTTAGTCATGTTTTTAGCCAGATATTGCTTTTTCTTATCGGCTTCTTACGTTATATCGTTTTTTTTTTTTTTTTAAACACGTAAATTCCGGTGATGGTCACGAAATGAAGCTTACAAAAGAAGGGCCAAACATTTAAGTCTTCGATTGAAACAAAACTTAGTAAGCATGTTGCCCTAAAACAAACAGCTCCTTATCAAAATAATAGAACCCACAGCTCAAGCGTTAAAAAAAACCGGCATCTAAAAATTAATCATTTAGCTTATAAATCTTTGGAAGTTTCACAAATATTCGTAATGGCTTTTTTGTGTAAAGAAATTATCTTATTATTATACCGTATCAATAGCATTATTATTACTATTATTATTTCCCACGTTTAGAGCTTATAAAACAAGAGGTTAAAAAAATGTGACGTTACTTCCCGTTTAGCAAAAGTAAAGCATGTACAGATTTAACTGTTGTGTGTTGTTAAAAAAAGGCTTTATTTTTCATATCGATTTTCAGATTTAATGGTATTCTTATATCTCGAATATAACGAACATGAGTGCACGAGGAAATTGTTTATAACACTAACAATGAACAAAAGCTGCGACTAAGCTACATGATTTTCACATCAGGCTTCTATATTATGTCTGTTTGCAGTAACGTCTGAAGCTTATTCGATTGTGGTGACATAATATGTAACCACCAGTGAAAAAGCACATGGCAGAGCAATCTTGTAGGAAAAATATACAATTTTTAGAAAAACATCAGGTATTCCAGTATACTTGACAACTTGTCACCTGTATGGTATAAGACTAAAAGACTTCTACTATTATGAATGAACTTTCTCGTTGTTTTGTGTTCATTCTGTTGACCTGTATACATCTTTTTTTAATTTTAAAAGTAATTAGAAATTTGGAAGAAATATAAATATTTTTTCTGACACCAAGGAAATTATTTCAGTCAACCGCATCGTGAGTTTGCCAATCTAAAGATAAGAGACAGGGTGTATAGGAATGGCACCCGAAATATCCATGACGTGTCACTTCGGGATTTTCGATTCATCTTGATATTTACCAGAAATACTGAACAATATGATGACATTAATCGATCTGTTATCCGGCTGTCTATCAGAAATAGTCTATAACAAAGCTATAAGGATATTCTTCCAGTAAGAGTGACGAAAATCCAAAATTATATTTTTTAAAAAGCGTTTAAGAAAACAAAACTCAGATTGTTGAAATTTAACACGTCCACGTAATAATGTACACAGTGATTCAATAGTACAATAATAAAATATGATGAAATAATGGTTTATATTGTTAAAAAGAAAATATTTACGTTTGTTCATCCGAATATATTCATATCAGAAAAATTTCAATAAAAATATTGAATTTTAACAAAAATTACTTTTTCGGAAGTAAATTAAAATAACAATAATAACAAATTTTATGTAATAATTTTATTTCAGAACATTTCTAAGTGTTTGATCGTTGTACAGGTAGTTTTTACTGGTAAATTTAGAATGTTAACAGTTATAAATGTTATAAATTTAATAATTTGAAATTATTGTTCATATTGGGTTATTAGTGAATACCAAAAATCGATATTCCATCCCGTGAAATGAGGGATTTCCTCACGACACTTGATGGAAAATTTGTATGCAGATTTTTGCCCGTGAGAGCTACAAGAAAGTAGACTTCGAGTAGACGACCGTGGAGATTTTTCTTGCAACATCCGACACACGAAAAGCAGCGAAATATACATTCATAAATAAGAGAGATGGAAATGCATTCATAGCAAAAACCACAATACTGTAGTTTGTTACTACGATAAACTGGAAATCATTCTTGCTTTATATTTTAGAAAAATTTTTATATTATATAATAAAATTCTAGAATACATGTTGCGATTGGAGTTTATAGTTTCCAGAATATCGGTAATTACAATAAAAGTAATAATTTTATTTTGGATACGTCTTTTAAAATTAGACGATAATAGTTTATAATACCATAAACTAGCGTATTATAAACTTTACAGATTGGATTCAATGTCAAATGATTACACACATAATTGGTGGTCGGCACAGCTAAATCTGTTGGAACGACTTAAATTACCATTTCTACGGCTAACTCAGGATCCTCATTTGATCGAATGTAATCATCCGTTAATTTAAAACTGTGCTGTGAACAAATTAAAGAAGATTGGTCTCTGTTATAAAAAAAACAAACACTTTAAATTATATTGTAGCACTAAAATGACTTTTATCTGTAAAGATTATTTGCTTCTGAATATAGGGGAGATCGGGGCAAGATCGGCATGTTAAGCTTTACTTAAATTTTGTGCAATAAATACTGCTGTAAACTGAAAAAAAAAATTTGCATATTGTCTAT